AACTCTATGCAGAATCCTCACACACTGTTTGTCCTAATCCATGATCATGCTCACTGGGATCTTATGAGGTAAGAACAATTTCATTTTTAGCTCAACTTTTACAGAAAAAAATGTTAATTATTATTTTTATTAGCTCTAAAGTCCATTCAAAATGCTGTCTTGAAGGTCATTTTGGTTGTTTATTCATTGCCCACCCATCTGTGTCCATCTTCACTGCCCAGCTAGCTCCATTTTCCCAAGCATCAAACACAAACAGTTCTGCTGGAGGTTGTTGCAGACCTGTCCTCATCCTGAATTGCCTCTAATGTCTCATTGAGCTGTTTTCAGCTCTGATTCTCCATGAGTCATGGATTCTTACAAGGACCTTCACATTTTCTGCTAGGCTGCTTCTTGCATGTGAGAAAATCGATGTGGAAAGCCACTTCACTGCTCTCCTTCAAAACTCTCTTTAACTTTTCTCCCTGCTGCAAATTGTGTAAAAAAACTCCACAATATCTGGGCAGCCGGTGTACCACTTATTACTAGATGTGTCAGAGTTGCAGTGTTCTGTAGGGGTGTCTCAGTTTCAGAAATTTTCTGATGAAAGGAAGACAAAAATATCTTCCTCCCAACTCACCTGTTCATACTACTGGTTCTGTGAAGGGTGGGAGCATAGGTTTTCCAAGCTTCCAAGATGCCCACGGCGCATTTTTAGCTTAACAGAATCCACATATTTCTATTGCAGGAACATGAGCATGTTCGCAAAACAGGTTATTTTGGATTTTGTGAGGTAGGAGAGTAATTGTAATGGCTAACATTTATATAGACCACCTTTCATCCCATTTCGAGACACAAAGAGCATGAGTGACTTGCTTAGGATCACAGAGCCAGGGGACTGAAATGGCATATGCTTGGGCCCTAATATCCAGACATTCATTCCTCTTTTATAGTAATCCTGTTGCAGTTACTTTGTGCCCCCATCTGCCTGTTGTATCTATCTGTTGTATCTCATTTTACACAAAGATTGTAATCTCTTTGGGGTCAAATGCTGTATTTTCTTAAGTTGGGTTGGTTTAATTGTACAGGCAGCATAGGTGGTCGCTAAAGGCAGCAAATTGTAGGGGGTAGCAAAAACAACACTTGGGGCAAGCAGGCAGCATGGACACTTGGTTGGGTCTGGCTTGGCATGACGCCACTGCCATCAGCTCCACCCAGAATGAAATGGGAGGGTGGCAAATTTTCATTTGCCTAGGGCAGCAAAAATCCTTGTGCTGGCCCTGTTCTTAACAACTATGTTAATTCATGCCATGTGGCTACTAGCAACTGCCATAGTGCCAGCTCCTTTTCAGCTTCCCCATCCTGTGTGCTGGGAGCTGCAGGAAGCTTGATAGGCATTCCACAGTGTCTAAGGGAATGATATGGGGTTTATCCACTCCCTTTCTGTCATAGGAGTAGTGCAAAGATAGTAGAGCCAGGTCAAAGAATCCAGCTGTAAATTTCTTATTTGTATTTAATGATGTTTTTGTGCCTGGGTTTCAGATGGTAAGATATATATACATTGACTTTGGTATAAGAATTCCTTTATACTGATCACTTTGGAGAATATTGGGTTTCTTCTTGCAGTGCTGTTCATAGCCTTTATCCTCAAATGGAACCATCTGTGGGACTTGTCGATAGACTGTTGAACTGCAGAGAGGTGAAAGAGGCTCCAAACATTGTGACACTTCATGTGACTTCATTCCCCTATGCCCTGCAGACACAGCATACCCACATCAGCCCTTACAATGAAATCCACTGGCCTTCTTCATACAGCAATGTAAGATAGGTCTTTGGAGAGCTTTTGCATTCTTTTGTAAATTCATCAGCAAGTATTTTATGTTGACATGTCCAGAAAAACTTTGGAGGCTCCGGGTTCTTATGAAGAAAGTGATAAATAATTATTGTTATATTCCTTCTCTCGTCTGCTTCTGGTTTAGTTTCTATCTAAGTGCTTCTGTTTTTTTCTCTTATCCTTTCTAGTTTTCCCTATCTACATCAGTGATTCTTAGCCAGGGTGCCACAGCACCATGGGGTGCCTTGAGATCTTTTCAAGGATGCCACAGGGTGTCACACAGTATTAGCACTGTTAAGTGAGCAAACATGATTCACATGATAAAACCAGATATTTCTTTTCAACTGAGAAGAATTGCTTTATTATTTGCAGAGCCTATGAAAGGAATCCTCAAGTCTAAAAAGGTTGAGAACCACTGATTTAGATCCTCATTTTCTCTGAGCTGTCATAACTTTCATAGAAAGAACAGTAAGGGTTGCCAGAATCTGGAATGGGCTCCCAAGGGAGGTGATACTCTCCCCTACCCTGGGGGGTCTTCAAGATGAGACTGCACCTAGCTGGGGTCGTCTGACTTCAGTGCTTTTTCCTGTCCAGGGCAGGGGGTCCAACTCAATGATCTATTGAGGTCCCTTCCAACCCTGACTTCTATGAATCTATGAAACTGCACTGAAGTCAAAAGAGCTGTTTAAATTTAAGTCTTCTCAACATATCAATCATTTATATTAGTATTGAATTATATAAATACATGTATTTTCTTAAATATTTTTCCTATATGTGTGTATATAAAGAAGAGTCCTAAGTCTACTTCTCTGTATGTTTTCATTTGCATATACATTTACCATATTTCTTTGAATACGACACACATTTAAAAATCAAATATTTCTTCTAAAAATGATCTGCGCCCTCAATTCAACTATAAAAATCATGTAAAACTCTTACATGCACTATAAAGTTGTAGATGTGTCTTTATTTGATTTTTTTTTTTTAAATTGAGAATCCAAATATTTGGGTGTGTTTTAAATTCAAGGGTATTTTATATTTGAAGGAATATGATACTTAATTATAGTGATGCCAGGTTGATGCATTACTTACAATGCATATACTGCTTGTATTGTTAAATAACTTTTGTCTTTTTTTTACTGAAGGGAGTAGATTTATACCATGAAAACAAGAAATATTTTGGGTTGTCAGAATTCATTGAATCTACCCTTTCTGGACACAGCATTCCATTGCTTAGATATGACAGCTCTTTTGAAGCTATGGTTATGGCTTTAGGGAAAAGGTACAGTATGGTCTTTGGTTTAAAACATTATGACATTTGAGAGGCAGCATAATCCAGTAGATGGGATTTTGGACCATACATCTGGAGGCCTGAGCTCTTTCTGTTCATGGCTTTGGCATTACTCAGTTATGTGTCCTATATGACAGTTTATCTTTCTGTGTTTTTGTTTCTCCAACTGACCTTGGTTTGTTGTCGTTATTTAATACAGGGGTGGCCAACCTGTGGCACATGTGCCAGAAGTGGCACAGGCAGCCTCTGTATGTGGCACATGACAGATCAGGGAGGAGACAGGCAGCAAAGCAGAAGATGGGGCAGGAAGCAGAAAGCAGACCTGCAGATTAGAAGGGAGCACAGGGCAGGATGCAGAAAGCAGAGCAGCAGATCAGGCAGGAGAAGGGGACTGGAGTAATCATTGGGGAGGGTGCAAGACTAATTTGTGGGGCACCTGCCAAAAAGGTTGGGTCCTGCTAATTTAGACTATAATCTGGTTAGCAGAGATTGTCTCTTTTTATGTATGTCATCTAGCACAATGTAGTTATGGTTTTGGCTGGGTCCGTTATTCGCTATATAATTATTGTCCTTAACTGTGGAGGTTAATGCATCAATATTTTTAATGCGATTCCATGCTGAACTTTTCTGGCTATCAAGAACTAATTTTAATATATACATTTTGTAAATATCCTAAAGGGGCCACAAAGAACAGGTGCAATTTCACTTTGGCTCCTGGACTTAAATCAAAATTGAATTGTTGTTATCAGAGTGTGAAAATTTGATGTCATTTACCTTATATGGTCCAGGAAGAGACATTTAAGTGAAAAATCTAGAGTCACTGGGAGTGGGTAGCCAATGTTCTTTAGGTGCATTTTTTGCATGCGCAAAGTTCCAGATGAGCTCATTGAACTGTCAAGTATACAATAAATGCAAAATTGAGCAAGGAGAACTTTATAACTTTGTAAAGACTATGACATACTGGTTTTGGTCTTGATTCAACTCCTAGTCAAGTCAAGTGATTCTTTTTAGTTGACATTAGTAAGAATTGGATCAAATCTTCAGTAAGTACAAGTAAAAGAAACCCTAAACTGATGCACAACGAGCTGTACTGTGTTCATCTTCATTGCAAGTGTCTTTTATTTTTGATTCATGGTACTGCTGACTACACTAGCAAGTATTCTGTGGCATATCTTCTAAAAGCAATGAGGTCTTAATAACATGAGGAAGTATAACTTCAGCATGCCACTTGTCTTAAATCTTTCCTGAGAAATGGTTAAATCTCACCGTTTCTGGTCAAGGAATTATAGGAGAACAGTCAAGGACAGCTTAGTGTAGTTCTACTGTATATTAGGCATGATTTTACATGAAGATGATATTTTGTGTGCTATTGAATTTTTATAAGAGCTGCATCCTCACTTCACAATTTATTTCAGGTTTCCCAGATTACACAGTGCAGTGATAAGGACTTTTGTCCTCATACAGCACTATTCTGCAGCTATGATGGCAGTAAGTGGTCTATCTCAGATGAAGAATTACACTTCAGTTGAAACACTGGAAATCACCCAAAACCTAATAAACTCTTCAAGACTCTGCCCCAGTGGCCATGGCCTCATGGTGGTGTTAAGAATTCCCTGTATTCCACTGGCTGCTGTGGCATATGAGCGACTCTATCATGTAAGAGAAAGACTAGCTCTTGAAGATAATTTTGAAATAATCTTGGGAAATCCTAACTCTGGAATCACCATAGGGAAGCACTTTGTGGAGCAACTAAAGGTAACTTGCAGAAGACACTATCCTAATAGGTTCACCATGGAAGCACCAAGTCCACTGGGGGGGTGGGGGGTGGAGACGTTCAGGTTTTATTGAAGTTATATGTCATTTCCCAGCAAAATTAAAACTGGCATGAATAGCCACACTCATTGCAATAGAGTGTGCAGTCTATGAATCAATGCAGTAGTGAAAGAGCAAATAAAAATTAAAGTGATTTTTGTCATGGTAAAGGTTTTACCTGAGCAGAAAAATTTCCCCCTAAGGCGAATACTGTGGAATTATATTATGTAGGCCACCAGAAGGTGGTGTGGAGTCCTCACATCATTCAGTCCTACCCAGATGCGTCTGAGTCTCCCAGCATTTCAAATACAGCACCTGATGTTTCCTGGGTTCTAACATTCTGGAAATGGTTAATAGATTAATAAATTCAGGCTTGGCCTTTAAGAGGTTCCCTCTGGCCACATTATGGTCATGGAGTCGTGACTCACTGCAAATAGCTAGTCTAAACCCCCACACCCAACACTAAGCATTTATTTGTAGATGCTCACTGCTACATCTGGGAGCTCTGCTGTAAAGCATGCCCTGCCAATTTGCTCTTCATCCTTGTGTACCAAGCTCCAGCAATGAAGCAATATAGCTATCACAGAGTCATCCTGAACATGTACTCAGTACTGCTTGCAGACTCTTTGCCTGAGGCAGACTTATTGGCAAGTGTACTGGGCTGCCCTAGAGTGGCTCCATTGCCTGTTTCTGAGTTTTAATATACACAGAGCAGGAGTGAACAGGCGTGAAAGCAATATGGAGATGCCCTATCCCCCTTATTAAGAATACTGCAACCCCCATTTAAACACATAACGTTACATGTTAGGGTTGGACATTCCACCACACTTTTTGCTTGCTTCTTGCTACTTATCCCCTTAGCCATAATTCTCCCTGGAGCAGGAGACAGGGCCCTGATTATGATTTTGTTATACTAACACAGATGATTCACTTGATAAAACAGGAGTAAATAAATTCAGAATCATATCCTATATTGTTTCATGTGTGTTGTTGGTTCTTAACCATAAATAATAAAGACCAGATTCTGTTACCCAAATCCCAGTGCATAGTACTTCACCAGTCAGTTTTTCTCATTGAATACAATGGTTACTCACAGCTCAAGATGTTAATCAATGTGAACATAGATATCTCCACCTGATCCCCAGGCAGAGACCAAGTGACCTGGTTATCAATCTATTATGGAGCTCTCAGAGCAGCTGACAACTGTAGTTAGGGAACTGGATCCCCAAAGGAAAATATTTACGGTGAGTGACTCTTCTTTCTGCCTTTGAAGATCAGGTTATACATCTTCATAAAGGTTTCTTGTGCTTTCTGGATGAACATTTGGATCTATACTTGGTTATCTTTTTATTTTCCACTTAATTTAGGAAGTCATTAGGTTGATGACATCATATGGATTTATGATGCTGTCTTTTTTAGTGAACCAAAATTTTTATGAGACAAAACTGAAAATAAAAGTTAACAACTAAGAAACTTTCACCCTTTGGCCTCCAGTAGTTGCTTTTGTAAAATCTCTACAGAATGAGATCCACAGCGTAATCAATATATGATCCACTTCTGCCTTTTTAACAGAATCTTACGGTTATGCCCAGCTGTGTTTTTTATATTGTATGACAGATCTGGCAGAAAATTGAAGATGCAGATTGGAGGCCACAGACTTATTTGGAATTAGAAGGTCTTCCATGTATATTAATATTTAGTGGAATGGACCCTCAAGGGGAGTCCCTGCCAAGGTGAGAAGGCAATACTGACAAACACTTCCACTGTGTTCTTTGGTTCTTTGTGGGTGCAGCGGATTATGAGATTTGCATGATGAGATGATTGTTTCATCTGTTTTGGGCAGTTTTTGTACTGTCAGCTAAAAATGTGGGAGATTGGCCATGTCAGCTTGGTAGTAATGGGTGAGGAGGTTGACATATGTGATAGAAGGGGGGTTTTCACAACAACATCCCTAAGGAGGGATGTAAGGAGACAACAAAACCCTGGCATATGCAGATCTATAAAAGTTGGTGTTGCACCTGCTTCCAATAGGATTTAATTTGGAGGGGCTGAGTGTGCCAGATCAGAGAGTGAGTACATTTTTGAGTCAGGATTAGAACTCAGGAGAACCCAAGTGCAATTGGATAAGCTGTTTCAAGCACAAGTACAGAGATAATCTGCACTCTGGGAGTGAACATGCCAAAATACAGTAACAAAGATATGTCACTGAGTTTCTGCTTACACATCAACAAAGTAGGTAATGACAAAATCCTTCATTCGTATCTGCCAAAGCAATCACAGTGTAGAATACAGTGGGATTTCAAACTGGTCTTTTGTTTCTTTCAAGGTCATTGAGATACTGTGACCTACGTTTAATAAATTCCTCTTCTCTGGTAAGGACAACCTTGGAACAAGAACTTGGTTTGGCAGCATACTTTGTTAGCTCTGAAAGCCACATAGAGAAGGTGGTTGTAAATGACGTGTTGGAGAGTGACCCAGAAAAACTGAGCAGTACTGATAACGAAGATGAGGAAATAGTGACAGAAGGTATTACTTATTATTTGTTGAGTCTGTTCTATAAAGGAAGCCTTTAAGTGGTTGAGCATTATATGATATCAAGTTTGAGAAGAATGAAGTTGTAGAGTTAGAAAATACAGTTTCATAAAGTAAGTTAGTACTTTTTGAAAAATATCTACATATTCAAACTTCAAGTTGTGCATTAAATATTAACTCTGTGGACATGTCTACACATGTGCATTTACTGTGCAGTAACTAAAATTACTTCACAGTACAGGTGCGTGCCTACATGTGTGCACCCGCTCTACACAGTAAATATGGTGACTTACACCAATTTGAGCATATATGCAATACCTGCATCATGCAGGTATCAAATTTACACCTGATTATTTATTGTGCAGTAACACACGTGTAGATGCCTTACTGTGCAGTAACACTATGTGTGTGGACTGACTTGGGACTAACTTTAATGCCTGCACGTGTAGATGCCAGTCTATTCCCACTTACTGTGCAGTAGTTTACTGAATAGTAAATATAAGAGGGCATAAATGCATATGTAGACATGGTCTGTAAGTATCAACATCAGAGATGAACGTTGGCTTTCAAGAATGCAAAGCCATCTATCACATATGCAAATATAAAGCAGTTATTGCAACTGGATGCAACGAAGTATTGGGAGAAATTATTTGAAATGTTTAGTGATGGGCTTGTACTTCTGAAATTAAACTTATCAAATAATATTCTGTTATTAATACTTTGTCTTTATCATATGTTTCAACTGAGGAAGGCAAGCATTTTATAAACATTAATTAGTAAAATTTCTCAGTGCCCCCGAGAAACCATTATCACGCCCCCCCCCATTTCATACTGGCAAAAATTAAACTATGTAGGGGATAAATGATCACACAGGGTTTCATGGAAAGGACTGCTCACCTGAGTAAGATGTTACTCAGCAAGAATAGAACCTGAAATAAACAGAAATAGACACTTTTATCAGCAGCTTTGAAAGCAATGAAATTTTGTTTTCATCAAACACAGAGGTACAATCTGGCTGTAGAGTTACTTGAATGTCCCAGTGAAAATGAATGTGTTTAGGGGGTGAGTAGCTGCTAGTGCTGTGATAATGTGAGACCTCTTTTATGTTATATATACTCCTTGCTGCTGGGGCAGCAAGGAAAAGAAGGCATGGGTGGTTAAGAGAACATTGCTGAGTTTTTGGCTGGAGTTTTGCCTCCGCAAATTAAAATTAGATTAGTCCTCAGGCTGCTCCACTATATAGCACAGGCGATGTGGCCACACAAGAATACTGTCTGAATCATGATTTGACCTAGCTGAGGTGTAAGATATTTTGACCCAGAACACTTTGACTTTGGCGGTTTGGTCATAGCTGAGGACTGCCTTTGGAGAATTAATTCAAATGTGTCTCTTTCTTCTCCCCACCCCTTATCATGAAACAGGCTCTACTTCAGAAAAGAGAAGTCCTATGAAGAGAGAGAGATCACGCTCCCATGATTCTGCATCTTCATCTCTCTCTTCAAAAGCTTCGAGTAAGACTTTACCAGCTTTCATTTCTAAGCTTGCATTTGTTTAAACTAGTGATGGCAACTCATTTCCCTGCCCTTTTTGTCTGCAGAAAGACAGTTATTTGAAAACAACATTCTACAAAAGAGAATTATTAGTGATTCTCCCAACAGAAAGAATCTCTAATGGGGAAATCCTGTTTCTCCTACTTTTTCTGTCAGCCTTACATTCCCAAGTTGCTGTGGAGATCAGTGCTGTGGCAGGCTATTTCAGAAGCATCTTCCTTTTGCACTTACTGAGAATTGTGGATGTCCAGGGCCACTCGGTATCAGGCTGTATATGCTTTCAGAAATAATAACTGTGGGCACTACATACATTGAGGCTGCCCTGAACAACTGTAATTACAATGCATTGGAGCAGACTCAGTTAATCAAATCTGGATCATGGTAATTATCATGCTCCAGCAGACTCCATCATCATATGTATCAGCATCCCTGCACTGAAAAATGGCAGTGAGGGCTCTTTAACTAAAGCTTGTTTGACAAGCTTTAGTTAAAGCATCCCCGCCACCATTTTTCAGTGCAGGGACACTGCTTTACATGATGTTCTGGGAGCCCCTTCCACCCCACCTCCCAGAGCACATGTATAAATGCCCTGTAATTTTAAATGGGTGTTCATAAAATATTTAGGAACCAAAATGTGCCTTTGTTACAACTGCTATAGTATCCCCTTTAGTCAGTGAGAGCTTTGCAGTATTCCAATCTGTTTTAGCCTTGTTCAGACAAATAGTCCCACTGATTTCAGCAAAATTATCTTTGTGAGTGAGGTGAATACAGCATGACTTAATAGCAGTAAGTCTGGGCTCACATTTTTTGATGACTGCATTTTATGTTGTTGACTGTATGCTTGATGAGGACATTTAATGGAATTGTTGTGGTTGCAGGTTGTTTCTGAAGAATCAAATTGCATTGTGTTGAAATACAGATTTTGTTTTTAGGTACAGCATTCTGCAGTGAGTCATCTCCTTTATTAACAACAGGGGATGGAGCAAAGTCACCCCACCAAGTCCTAGGCAGCAGTACTGAAGAAAGTGGCAATCAATATGAAAAGCAAAGGCAGAAAATAGATAAGGGAGCACAGGCAGTCAGCAAGAACTTGCCAATTGCAGCTGAACAACTGGACACAAAGCAGAACATAAAAAGCACCCAGATTTCCATCACCTCATCATCCTCATCACCCTTTTCTTCTTCGTCTTTGTCCTCTGTGCCCACTCACAACTCCTTCATCCTGCAGACATTTCAATGCGTTATGACTAAAGCATCAAAGCAGCCCCCCATAGTTTTACTGCCTAAGTTAGTGTATGACATTATTACCTCTACTGACAGCAGTGGACTTCCCAAGTCATCTTCCCTCTTACCTTATCATTCGGTGATGTGGGCGAGTTCTTTCCGCCCCCTCATGAGTAAAATGATGACATGTACAGAGCAGTCTCTCTACTACCGCCAGTGGACAGTACCCAAACCAATTCATATAGACTACAATAATAGAAATGAGGGCAGGATGGATAACTTTCACCCAAGGAGGCTGCTGCTGAGTGGGCCACCACAGGTGCGTAATAAAAATATGGCATTATTATTATCATTGTTTTATTTTGATTAATTTAATCTTAATCATATTAAGGTTAGATTAATGAGATCTATTATTCGTAGCTGAGATTTTACTAATGGAAACAGCCCTTCTTACTTTGTTTATTACTGTATTTGCCTCTCACTGGGAGTATCTACACATGCAATTAATGTGACTGAAAAAACTCTGGCACAATTTGTGCTGGAGTAAACTAATCTGGATGTCACCATCTACATGTGCATTTAAGCACAGTAATTTACTCCACCATCAGAAAGTACTTGTATCTGATGGGATTATCCAATGGCGCAGTAAATTAGTCTTCACCAGCCTAATTGCTATGCATGTGTAGCTGATGATGTTTTACTGTGCAGCAAATTAGTCTACTGTGAAGTAAAGTACATGTATAGACACTCCCACTGTTAATCTGTGCCAAGAAAATAATGATATGGTGATGTCTTTTTTTCTTAAATCTCCATAAAATTTGAGCTGTGTTTTAAAAAGAATTACACTCTTTATCTCTGCATCATTGCAGTTTGTTATAGCTTGATGGAATTGCAGGTTAAAAACTAAATAGGGTCTGTGGGGTACGTTTTATGGCCAAGCTGAGGAGGGGAGAAGCTGTTGGACATACCCATTTCCTCTATGTGCTGGGTAGAAATAGAAATTGTTACCAATACAAATAAGCAAAAAGGGGCTGATTTCATTTCAGCAGTGCTATGTTGATTTACAATGAAAGAAGATCTGGTCTAATTTTTTTTAATTATCTTAGAAGATTTGGAAGCACATAAAGACTTCAGAGGTCCCATTACCTTTTTAGAGCCTAATAATATTAAGCACCCATGAAAATTTAGGGGAGTGCTTACTCTGCCTAATTGATGGGCCTGGGCACACACTGAGTAAGGGCAAGTAGGGAAGTGTTTCTTGCCAGTGGCCCCAGACTTGGCAGGGATACAGTGTAGACATGGTCAGAAGCCAGAGTTCAGGTCGCTACATAGGAAGCAGAAAACCAACATTTGTCTTATGTATTTGATCAGTTGCTGTTGCTAGATGGACCTGCTCTTTATTTTCATGGTGTCAGTTCAAGGTATTAACTGACCAAAAGAGATGAGAAGCTGGTAAACACAGGGGGGGCGTAAAAACAAATATATTCTGCAAGAGTTAGATACAGCAAAAGCTGTGTTAACTGACACTTTATTAGCTGGAAAACTCTATTAACCGCCATCTGAGGGACATGGCAAACGTGAAACCGGAAGTACCCTTCCGGGTTTTGCTGCCACAAGCAGAGCTTTTCTTTGCCACTTTTTCAGCCCATGGCCCAAGGCAAAGCAGCCTGTGCAGGGTAAAGCAGCCTGCGCAGGGCCCCCCTCCCTGTCCCCCGGCACACTGACACCGGGGAGTGCACCAGATGGTGCACATTTGATATCTGGGGGATGCTGGATAACAGAGCTTTTACTGTAGTATATTTCCACATCCAAAAAAGTCATGAACTGATAACATTTTGGGTTAGCATTTATCAAGAAGTTTCAAAATACAGTTCTCAGAGCTACAAGTGTACAAAGCAGCCAAAACATATTATTTTGTATTTCTGCTGCATTAATTTGTCCATGAGGTGTTTGATTTGTATCCACTGATGGTTCTCAACAAAGTAAATGAGACCTGCATATATCAGAGAGCATAATTTCCCATAAAACAGCTGGCGTTTGTCATTTGTCCATTTATCGAGTTATACGTAGAAAACACAGGCCTCATGTTTATTCATTGGCTGTTTTCTGGGGTGTGAAATTTTAACTTGCAATCTACACAAGTGTAAGCCCTTAGTCTGAAGGAATAAGTGATACATAGAAGTCACCCTGGAAGAACATTTCCAGCTTGGGAAGCTTCATCTCTTTTCCAGCTGCCTGCAAAATACAGGTTTTGCACTGGATCGGGGAAGTAGAGCAAATCCTAAAAATATTCCCCACGTTTTGTATTGCATACCCACTACTTCTTCTTGACTGAATGCTTATTTCATGTTGAATACTTTATGGAACAAATCATAAACAGTGTTTCTTCTTCCAAAATGGAAGTGGTTCTTCCTTATTCCATGTTAGTGCAGAATCTCCTTTTCATATGCTGGGGAATAGGTCAGCTTGGGTCCCTTTAAAACCTAGAAGACCAATTAAAGGGAATAGACTTTTAGAAACCAACCAGTTCTGAATGTATTCTGGCTATTTATTGGGTTGTGTGGAATCTTTTCCAATAGAGGGGTGAAGCAAAATATATAGCAAACGTGGGTTTCTCTTCTCACTTTGGAAATCAATAATTTCTTGCTAGATATATGTTTTGCTCATGAGTTTGTTTGCTAACCATTACATTACGTGTGGAGTTATGTTACCTACTTCGTGAAGAGGGACAAATAGAAGAAGATTTTGGGACCAGGGCATCTTGTCTAAATAGAGATTAGCTATTTAAACAGTGCCATTTTAAGCATAAAATGACACTTCATCCAGTATATTCAATCCAATATCTCTGAATCAGTGGATACAATATTTTTCAGATATTGGAAGAAACTGTCACCATTTGACCAGCTCTTTGTGGACCATTGGCATGTTTTCACTGGACCATCAGTGTGTCACAGGACATATTTTGAGAACCACTGCTTTTGTATGTTAGGAACTCTCCCACTTAGAAAATGAATTGGAAAAGTTCAGAGAGAGGTTTCTTTGCCAGGTTTATTCAGATATGAAGGTTGGGAACAAAATGCTACTTTTGAATAACATAGGCAAGAATGAAAGTCGTCAGTCAAAGAACTTACACCACGGGATTAATTATGTGAGACCCCCTCCTGTAACCATCTCACTGCAGAATGTCTGAAACTTGTAGGAAAAGGGAAAGCTGACGGTACGTGGTATGAGAGCTCTTTGAATGTCCCTTCTGCAAATAAACATGACAGCAGTTAAGTCATTTCTCTGACTAGAATCTCATCATAGGTGATTGTGAAAAGAATAATGCACTGGCCAAGATCTGGAAGCTGTGTTCCCTCTGGAGCCAGTATTATATGCTATAACTGTGTCTTTTTGGCACACAAGAATTGGACCACTGAGCTTTCTGCAAGGAAAACCTAAACTTAGTTTTCTTCCTACATGTGGACCTCATTTGTCCACCTGGATGTCTCCCTGAATAAAAGGATGTAAACGTAGACCTTGTTTTTCATAGCTGAGGAGGAAAGTAGAACTCACCCTAATGGTCTCTTGGTTGCCCCACGTACCTCAGCTTCCATACACAGTCTACAAACTTGAGATCTTTGCTTCTTCCCTTCTTGGGATATTTTCCTCCACAGTGTTGTCTGTCATTCCTGCCTCAGGGTGGACTTGTTCTAGTTCAGAAAGACAGGAGACAGAATGCCCATTCGACATTGTGGTATATTAGAGATTGCCTGGAACTGAAAATAAGTGTTCCAGCAAGGCCCAGGCATGTTTAAGGAACCATAGCATCATTACATCCTGGGAAGAGTAGAAAGTGCCCTATGTTATATATAGGGGTATGCAAAGAGGTTACTTTTCATGGCTTACCCCTCACTTAACAATTGGTTCTTTATGGTTATAGTTGAAAGAATGAGTTCAGCTCCCTGTTCCTGTACTGCCAGATCCCTTTCTACACAGTTCTGTGAATACTGCAGGATTTAAGAGAACACAAAAAGAAGATACTAAGAAGTCAATAATACTTACTAATGTAACTTTCCACCAAACCACTCCCCTGTCATTATGCGTGCTATTCAATACTTATATCATATGCAAAACCCCTTTTGGCCATGCTGCAGGAAGGGATTGAGAGTGAGGGATCTGGTAGAGACCTTCAGCAAATGCTTGCCTGCACATGTAGGGAGCTAGACTCAGTGATCCAAGAGCCTCCTTCCTTTCCTATTTTCTTATGCGTTTTAATTTAACTCTTTGATGCAGGCAGTGAATGGGCACTATCTGGCAAGAAAAAAGGAAATCCTACTCTCAAGATCAATGTGAGAGGACTACAGGACAAGCTTAATTAAAATAAAAAATAGCAGGCCTGTTGCTTTCCTAACTGTTCTGAAGCATAGAAAAAGAAAAAAAATATTCTGTCAGTAAAAATTATAAAATTTTGTCTGTGGAACAAAAATTTGAGCCAGTGTATAGGGTACAGCTAGAGTAGTCCTGTTAAGTTGCTCATAATTATTAAAATTCTGAGAATACATCCAATTCACTCAATGCTGACCTTACTAGTGGAAATCTACATGATGTTTCAAAAAACTTTAATTGAAAGAGTTCATAAATCACACAAAAATAATCCTAGACTTGAGAGAGTGTATGCTCAATGCTCTAATCCAAGTGGTAGACATTTATATAAAATACTAGATGTGGGATCACTTCTTGACTAAGACATTTTTGTTTACTTATCTTAGAAATAAACAGGTCCATGCAGTCACAGGGGCTTGTTCCTTTTAGCTCTAGGGCCTTGACATAAACCTGCTTGTCGTGAAATCCCGTTCAAGTCAAGGGTTCACAGTTTGGAATGTTCTCTATTTATATATGAATTATTTATAATTTTATTTATGTATTTAACTTTATGGGTATTATTTATTTATTGCTTATTAGTTTTTTAAATTACACTGCGATGTAAATTGTACTTGCAAGAATCAAGACAGGGTAGTAACTGATTCAAATATATGACACCCAGGAATAAGTACTCCATAGCTTGGTAAAATCAGGTACAGAAGCAAATTGTATGAAAGTGCAACAATGTACATCCACATATTGGAGAAAATGATTGTGTCTGGTGTGGCTTAGGACAAAAAAAAAGGAAGAGTGAAATGTTTTAGGTAGTTTAAAATGGCATCGTGGAAGCACAGGAGAAAACAAAATATTTTTAGCTTGCATTATTTTGCATAGAATATATGACCAAAGAAGGGAAATCTAGATGTGATACAATGTCTTCTGCAGACTTACTTCATCCCTGCTTTTAGTATAGACAGTTCTCTCAATGTGTTGATCTGCTGATGTACAAGCTTGAAATAGTTGAGGTAATTATTTAATTATATTGTGCTTTTCCTTCTGTAATTTAATTCTTTTTTTCTTGGCTTTTAAAAAATGTTATTTTTTCATGCTTATTCTAGTTCAGGGGGAGGAGATGCATGTGGTGAGTTTGCAGATTTGCGTGCCTGTAACAGGCATATGGGGCAAGATAGGTTTTGCATGATCATATCTTGCATATAAGGTGCATGTGATATAAACTTGTGAATGTACAGAAATAGCAATGTAGATGCAACAGAACTGAAAAGCTTCAACATACTTTTAGGCTTGGTCAGTCATCACCATGTCTGGTTTCAAGTTTCCAAACTGATGACATAGGCATTGATAGGAAATGGCTATTTAGTTTCTGATTTGTGTATTTACAGATAGGAAAAACGGGTGCCTATCTTCAGTTCCTCAGTATCTTGTCCAGAATGCTGATCAGACTGACAGAAGTGGATGTTTATGATGAGGAAGAGATCAATATTAGTAAGTTATTGTTGAAGCAATGTTTGTTTCTGGGGCTTTTATTTTTTAAAATCCATCTGTTAGTCTGACCTGTGGTTGACTAGTTTATCATGTGCTCTTCACCATCAAGCTGTAATTTATGTACATTACTACAATCCATTTATGATCCTTTTGTAAGATCCATGACTTGAAATCTGAAGACATGGACCGATAACACATTTTTACTAGTATAATTGGTATACTAATATATCATTTACATTGTTGTAAAAAAGTAGTGGATAATCCCTGAACGGGGTAACTTCAGCTGAACCAGTGAATAAATTACCCTTGAAAGAATCACAGTAAAACTCCACTTGCATAAGTCACAACAGGCTAGGTTTTATCTGTCCATATCTGTCCCAGGGTTGTTGTTCAGTAAAAGCAAAGACGGTCACCTGCTCTGCCACCACCTAATGGCCAAGTACAGTAATAGCTGTCTGCTACTTGCAGGTACCTGAGGATGGCTGGATGTTTTCCCATTCCTGACACTAATGTACTTACATAAAACCAGTGTAAGTTACCTCAGGGTATACATTCGTCTGTCTATTCCCTTATTGTAGGCCTGTGCGAAGCAGCTAGTATTCACTTCAGATTCAGATTCGGCCGATTTGGGGGACAGCGATTCGATTCGGTGATTCGAATCACTGTCCCGATTCAATTCAGCCGAATCTCTGAATCAGGCAGGCCCGTCCCTGTCCCTCTCCCAGCCTGGTAATGGCTGTCCTGCCCACCCGAGCTCAGGCACTTGTTAAAAAAAAGCCCCAGTGCTCACCGGGTGCTGCTGGGTGGAGGGGCAATCCCCGCTGCCCCCCACTGCCTCAAGCTGCATGGGGGGCTCTGTATGAGCCCCCTGACCCCCCCTTTGCTTCCCCAGCCGCCCCACAGGTGCCCCGCCTGGGTCATCTCCAGGCCTTTAAGAACTGCCCCCACCCCGGGACTCACCGGTCCTGCCGGTGGGGGGTGATCCTCGCTGCCCCCCATTGCCCTGCACCATGTGGGGGGCTCTGCACAAGGCCCTGCTGCAGGAGTGGTGAGTCCTGGGGCTTTTTGTTTCTTAAAGGGGCAGAGCTGGCCCCGGTGGGGCATCTGTGGGGGGGCAGGGGGAGCGAGGGGGGGGTCAGGGGGCTCATGCAGAGCCCCCCA